CTGACAAAGGCTAATCCCCTTGCCCTTTCTTCTCCTTGCAGCAGTGTACACCCCGCACTCTCTGCTTGAGGCACTGCCAGTCTTCCCTGACTTTTGCTCCTGCCAACAGTTTGGAGGGGAGGGCATGTGTCAAAAGCTTATTTAAGAATATGATTTTATATTTAGAAAAAACAGACTAGAGTTGACCCTTGAACAATGCAGAAGTCACGGGCGCTGACCCTCTCGCACAGTTGAAAATCCAAATACAACTTTTGATTCCCCAAAACTTAACTACTAATAGCCTCCTGTTGACTAGAAGTCTTACCAATAATATAAACAGTTGATTAACACATATTTCATATGTTATATGTATTAATACTGTGTTCTTACAATAACGATTCAGCTAGAGAAAAGAAAATGTTATTAAAATCTCAAGAAAGAGAAAATTATAAAGTCTTCATCCTTGTCATCTTTACATTGAGTAGGCTGAGGAGGAGGAAGAAGAGGAGGGGTTGGGCTTGCTGGCTCAGGGTGGCAGAGGTGGAAGAAGATCTGCGTGTAAGTTGACCTGCACTGTTCAAACCTGTATTGTGCAAGGGTCTGCTGTATTGCCATTGTAAAACAAAGGACTGAAAGAAAAGCTTGGAAAAAATCTTCTCGCCTGGTGATCATATAGGGGTTTATTAACTCTGGGGTTGATGTGACATCTTATGTTTATTAAAAGAAGAGGTTAAAAGAAAAGGTATTGAGAAGCATGGTAGTATATGCTTTCCTTCCTTGTGTACATGCCTTTGCTCAAAATATCCTCCTTCTCTTAGCACCTGAATTTCTTGGAACCTGCCCCTTTTTCCCTATGCAAAATCAATCATTCCTCTATGCTCCCATAATGCTTTGTGTTTAATCTCTACTATTTTCATCATCATCTTTTCTCTTTAGCATATTACACTCTGATGTAGCAAATACTTCTGAAAGTGAGTTGCAAGAGCACTGTGACTGACTGCAGTAAGCCAGCTAGAAACTTCCATGTGCTAGGAGTGGATTCTAGGACTGCACCTTTAGAGATTCAGAAATTTGGAGATGGAACATGAGTTTAAATTTTTACATGCTTTGGTTCATAAGTTACACTTCGTAAAGTGCTTAAACTTGAACTTAAAAAATGTTCCTACTTGTTCTAGGAGCAAAACAAGCATTTTGATCAAAGCAGCCTGGGTGCATTCAATCATTGTTCATTCACCGGTCATTAATGAACTACTAATTGTAGTAACCTGTCCAGGTAAGGCTGTGTGCAGTAGCTGTCCCTTATGCAGTCATGTTCATCCACTCTCCTTTTGCTGTTTGTCTTCTCTGTCTTTGCAAGCTCAAGCCCATTCTTAGGGCACATTCAGTCAAAGTATTAGCTGATAAGTACTTTCAATATTTGTCGTGGCCGAGGCAGTGGAGGAGGGGGATGCTAAGAAGAGTGAGAGGGGAAATAGATTTGCATTTTAATAGAGTATTTAAATTCCTTGATACTTCAAATTACTGGAGAAGAGAGGGTTTCTAACTTTTACTGAATTCCTAGATGTGCCCAACACTTGACCTGTATTATCTCATTTAACCCTTACAATAAGTTTATGAGGTGTTAGTGTTTTACAGAGGAAGAAGCTGAGACCCTCCATGTCTGGAAATAGGTTAGATGGAACATGGACTAGAAGCAGGTCTTAGAGGCCTACTCATTCTCCTCTATCCAGATGCCTCTGTTACCTCAACATTTTTCCCACATCTATGCTGGTTGGGAACAGCGTGGCATCACTGGAACATCCTAGTACTCATCCTGTTTTGAGTGAAAGACTACTCTCTGGGCTGCCCCAAAGAGCACTAAAGATGGCCCATAATCTTCTTAACTTTCCTAGGAGTGAGTGAATGACAACTTGGGTCACTTTAGAAAGGATACTGACCTTTAGGATGAGTGTATAGATCCAAAGCAAGCACGATGTGGACTAGTTCACTACCTTACTGTTAGTGAAGGTGTGTTCATTTTTTATTGTAAACATACCTTGTTTCTATTTGACGAAAACCAGATATCAGAATCTTCAGCCAAGTGTACATGTTACTGATGACGACTTGCTAGTCAAATTCAAAGTCTTTTTTGCAGGCGTTAGTTCTTGAACAATAGATTCAGGAACTAAGTTAAGGACTGAAAAGAGTATTTGTTTTCTGCATTTGATATAGAGCTTATTGACAGATGAGGAAATTAAGGCACAGGAGGGAAACATTGGCCTCAGCAGTGCTTTCTGCCTGTGCTGCCATGTATCTGATTTGCTGGGTATTAATTTGAGGAGTCTAGGCTAGGTCTACCTGATTGAATCAGAAGATTCTTGAACCCACAAGCTGTGCCTAGAACTTCATTGCAGGTCTAAGAATCTGTAGCCTTTGATCCTGTGACCCACTTCTTAAAACTTCCTCTGGCTTCCATGCCTTTAAATTTTCCCAGCTCTTCTACTTCTCCAGCCTCTTCCTCTTCTCCTTCCTTCTTTCCCTATTTTCCAATTGTGGACATTCCCCAAGTGAACTGATCTTCGAAGCTTCATCTCTCTTTTTCTCTACACCTCCATCTTCAGCTTCCCATCCAGTCTCTTGTTCCTTGTTTCTTCTTACCCAGAGAACAGTAGGTTACTCAGCATCTTTCTCAAACCATTTCTTCTTCTCAACTATGCTTCATCTGCCATTGGTCTAATGAACCTTTCTTCCAAGAAGGAAAGATCTATTCTTTCTATGACTGGCCTCAAAGTCTAGGTTAACTTGATTACTTTGTCCTTTTCCCCAGGATAAACAATGAATCAATGAGAAGAATAAAATCTTGCTTCAAATATTTGATATCTTTCTTTATGACATTTGGTATCTTCAAAGATATGCTATCTCTCATTTCCTTTCTGTCACTTCTATCAACCTCACATATCATTGCTTCCTGCAACTATCCCAGATAATCTCTTGAAATAGTAATAGCAAATGTATGTTGACTACTACATGTATTGTGCTATGCATTTTACATTTGTTACTTTCTTCAGTCCTCGCAACCACTCTGTGAGATGCTATTTTCTTCATCTTGCCAAAAAGAATACTGACATTTACAGAAATTAGGCAACTTGCTCAGTGTCACACAGATACTGAATGGTGGAGCCTCAACTCAGCTCATGCCTGTTTTGTTCTAAACTTGATGGTTGTAACCTGGAAAGTCTGCTGCTTCCTAGAATATAGGATAGTATATAGGAGCAGGCAGTTGGTGAAGATTAGTTTCCTTTCTTCTTTTTCTATCGTTTCTTCCTCAATTTGTACTGAATCTGTGTAAATGCTAGGTGAATCAGTGGTCCCTTCACTGTCCATAAGATACCACTTCAGCTCCTAATTTGGGATTCAGGGTTCACGGTGTGTAATAGAAGGCACATTGAGGCAGAAGTTGTTTCTATCCCTGGCTTTGCTACTAAACTTGTTCTGTAACATTGGGCAAGTCATTCAACAGCTATGCCTGAGCTGCTTCATGTGGCAAGTGAAAGGTTTGGTTGACACTTTCTTCGATTCTTTCCAGGTCTACATTTCTGTAACCTTATTCTACCTTCCCTTGTTTTATCCTCGTTTCTAGTAAAAACCCTTTGCTCTTTGCCTTTTCCAAGCACCCAGACCTTGTCAGCTCCCTCTTGGCTGTTGCTTCTGCTTGCCCAGGGCTGCCTTTTCCTCTTCCTGCTGCGTCTGAACTACACCACCCTCCCAGGCTCTTCCTTCTGTGTAAAGTTCGTCCTTCTCTCTGCCTTTTCCAGGCATCTGCAGTACTTGGATCTCCTGCATTGCTGCTTGCCTGTTTTCTGTTCACACATCTTGTCTTCTTAGATAATAGTTCCTTGAAGGGCTGGCTGGTCAGCTGCTCTAAGTTTCTTTCGTGTGCTAAGTTTCTTGTGTGTACCAGGGTAGGTGACTTCAAATGGAGTAGGTATTTCATAAATAATTGTTAAATGGTTACATTTGGGCTTTATCTCAAGAGCAGTGGTTACTCAGCAGGAATGCCCTTCCTTCTTTCCTTCTGATTCCCCCAGCAGGGGAATCAGAATCAGGATAACCAACCAACCAGAATTAACGAGGGTAAAACTGCTGGCAGACTAGTTAGGGAATTCTCACAATCCAGGGAGAAGTCCCTGAAGGCCCGGCCTAGTGAACAGGTGATAAAAGGCAGGGAGCACCAGATAAAAGAGGCTTGGTTTGCGCTGACTCTCCCACTGACAATCCTGGGCAGCAACGTCACTGTTACCTGGCTTTCTCTTCTCCAAGCAGTAGAGCTGCCCAAGTAAGCCAGGCAGACGTGCTAAGGGGCAGGCTCGGGCACCCGAGATCAGGGATGCAGAGAGCAGGCGGTATAAACCAATACAGTGGGGTGGATGAGTAGTTCTTAGCACAGCCCGATTTGAAGAGGTGGGGCAACATTTTTCCAGAGTCACTTACTTTCTTTGCCTCTGCTGAGGCAAGTAACAGCCTGCGGATTTGTGGCCAGAGGATGTACGGTTCTGCGAACACATTTCATATCCAAGGCTGCCAGGTCTGTTTTGGCCCTTCTGTTTGTCAGCGGAGCACGTAGCAGCAGCTTATCGCCCAATTTCAAGTGCGTGATGGAAGCACTGGGGCCTGAGGAATGCTGAGAAAAGTGTGGTCACTTTCCACCTGGAAATTCCACTTAAGAAGAAAAAAAAAAAAAAACAACCTAAGCAGAACCTAACCTAGACTTTTGGGCAGATCCGGAAACATTTTGGGCCGGCATTGGCCTGGTGGGAAGGAAGACAAAGTGGAGGGAGAACTGGTGAGTCTGAAATTAATCAAGACGCGGCAAGGGACAAAGCAAAGGAGGCTGTCGCCCTCCTAAGTCTCAGGGAGACACGTCAGCTGGAGCTCCGGGCAATTTTGGCCTGGCAGTCTCGCGGCCTGGGGAGGGGCGGCGGGAGGCTGCAGACGGGCTCTAGGGCCCAACGGCCGGGCGCCACGGCGGGGGTGGAGTGTAGGGTTACAGTGACGAGCCCGGGCGACCCTCCCCGGCCCGCGCGCGGGGAGAGGGGAGCGCGGACGGCGGCGGGAGCGCGCGGGAAGCTCTAAGACCCAGCAGCGCTTGTCGGTTTTGGGGCTGGAGGTGAAGCCCTGTGTGAATGGGGTTGATTGTCTGGCGCGACTTCCCCGCGCTGCCCCAGGCCATGTCCAGCGCGCTGCCCGGCGGCCGCCTTCCCCAACCCCGGGTCTGAACTAGCCATGATCGCCTCATGTGGAGGACAAAGTTGCGCCGGGGAACCTGTGAGCCTGCGGTGAAAGGTAACCAGCCGCCGCTCGAGGTGCCGGGAGGGCGCCTCCGAGGCTCTCACGCGGAGAACCCAGACGCCCCGCCCCGGGCTCCCTCGGCCCCTGCTGCTTAGGGAAGCCGGCAGCTCCTGGGGGCCCGAGGCTGAGATCCCACATTGCTGTTGTCTTTAAGCGGGTTCCCTTGCCCCGCTTCAGGTCCTGTTGCCTACGGGCCGGGCCTCCGCGCCTTGCCGCCCCGCGACCCACGTAGGCTGAAGTTGTAGCTCCGGGGTGCGGGTCCGGGGTGCGGCGCGCCAGACGCAGGGCTGGCCTTTTCGGAGGGGCGCACCCATATGGCCCGACTCTCCGTGGCGCGCCCGCGCAAGGGTCTCGCTGCGAGGGAGGGGACGGAAGAGGGTGTCTGGTGCCGCTTCCCCCGCACGAGACAAAGGCGCGCGCACCGGCCCGCCCGACGGGCTCCGGAGCTCGTGGCTGGACCCTTCCTGCCCGCGGGCCAGACCCGGCTCTGGCGGATGGGGGCGACGAAGGGGTTGCACCACAGCCCCAGACGCCTGGATCGCGTTAGCTGCTGCTCCTTCTTTGTTCTCTCCCTAGACAAGCTTCTTTGACAAACTGGAGAGTTAGATCCAGCTCCCGCTTGCCTGTTAGGGCTGGCTGCCTTTACAATAATCTGGTTTCAGGGAGAAAAACATTTAAACTTTCCAAATGGAACTGTTTTTTCTTGGAATGTGACGTTTGTGGCAGGAGGGAGAGTGGCGCGTCGGCCGCTGACAGCCGAGCGGAGCCAGGGCCCAGCGCCGGGACAGGAGCCGAGCGTCCCCCAAAGGCGGTCGGGCAGGAGGACACGGCGGCCGAGCCTTGGAGCCCTGGCGCGCACCTCTAGGGCCTCAGCCACCTGGACTGCGCTTGCAGTGACGCGTCCAAGTTTCCCCCCTTAGAGCCCCAGGCCGAGAATCCTGGGTCCCCGCGCACAGCTCCCGCGCGTCGCCCACCCTACTTTACACTAGGAAGACTTTCCCTTTCCATTTTTGTTCGAAGATTTTTGCCTTTTTTGGCTTCGGTGTTGATTTACTGTCTCCGAGTGGCAAATAGCTTTTGGCCAGGTTGGCGTGTGGATCACCTGGACTGGGGTTTCAGAGGTCAGGGCCCTGAACGTGCCGCCTTCTGAGACGATGCGGTTTGGACCCAAGGTTTTGTTCCCGTGGTCCCTCAACCCCCTTTCTCTGTGAGGCCTTGGTTGCCCATTTTCTTCTCCGGAGGCATGTTAAGAGAATCGAGTTTTTGTACTGCTTGCAGAATTCCTTGGTGGTGGTGGGGTACGTGGTCTCGAGAGCCAGTTGTGATACGTCGAAGATGCTTTCGGCTAACCAAAACAGTTACGTGCTAACCTGTTCACCATAAACGAATTAAACAAGAATAGAGGGATATTAATAGCTATAGTTCCAGAAAATTTCCTTCCTTTTCGGGAAGCAAAAAGTCAGGGCTTGAAATATTAAACAGTCATGGCTCCCTGCTTCCAAAACTGGCCTATGGGTCACTGCCAAACCGGCTAAGATTTCCCCTGGCTGCCTACTACTCCTGGGCCCGGCAGCTGTGGAAGTCAGAACCAGGTTAACAATTAAGGAGCTCTGCAGATTGCAAGGTCTTGAAGCATCTGTAGCAACTGACATTTACCTCCTACCAAGGTGCTCTGAGCATCATAGTGTATCCACTATGAAGGCTGTTTATGAGAATAATGTGGGAACAGTGGTTTAATACACTTTGAACTGTTAGTAAAGGGTGGAAAAGCATTGATTTGACCAGAAGGAAAGAAAATACCGATTCTACCAGAATGAAAAGGGTAGAAGGCCTTACACAGGCTCTACTTTTCCTTATGGTGTTGGTGGGGATGCTGGGGAGGGGGCGGAGAGAGATAAGGATGTTTACTTCTTGTATGGGTGCACTTTTGTTTTTCTGAGATGCATTTTTCAAGATAAATAAGGAAACCTTTGTAAACCTGTAAGTGTATAGGAGAGAAGGTGCTGTACCTGTAACTCCCCTCTCCCTCCCCTTCTTTTTAAAATGCACGGAAGTCTTGGTCTTTCAGGTTCTTTGCAGATGATGGAGGATGTAGAATACTAATGTTCCAAAGGGCATGTGGAGATCAAAACATTTAAAAATACATCTTTTCATGGAAGCTAATGGAGGATTTTCAGTTTAAATGACATGTTAAGGTGCTGTCCTTAAGAAAAGCACATGCATGCAGAAATGTGAGTGATTTTATGGGAAGGCACTCTGCTGATTAGACTTGAGAGTGTCTGCCCTGGGCCAGTTAATCTGGAGGCTCCTGTGGGTAGAGCTTTGCTTTTCTGATGTCTACCGCTGTGGAAAAGTGTGGACCCAGGACCTAGGGAAAAGATGGCTGAACTAATTGAAAGTAGTAGGCTGGCTGGTGAGAGTTCTATTGAAAAGCACAGCCTCTAGGTACCAGAGCTGCATTTCTTCATAGTAATTTGTGAAAATGCTTTGAAAATGATAAAACACTATATAATGTAAGACTTCTGAAAATAATAATGACATGAAATGGAAATTGCTAGTGAAAATTGTAAAAGTTTGATTTTTCAGGCCAATAAATTTAAAAGAAGTAACTTTGTAAGACCTGTTAACATTTGTGACATATAACATTCCCCCAAAGTAACCTTTTCTCTTTTCTTTTTTTTTGGGGGGGTGGAGGGTTGGGTGGGTGGGTGTGGCTATCTGCATTTTAAATGCATAAGGAAGCTCAGGTTAGGAAATTCTGCAGTGTTTTGAATAATTTTCCCCCTATTTTTCATTAATTTTGGCAGGTTCTTATGACTCAGAATTTAGTAGGTAATAAAATCCTTGAAAAGCAAGGGGTAGCATGGAGGTCAAGTAAAAGGAGATATTTGATTACAGGGTTTGTTGGAAATAGACTGAGGTTGTTGTGTTTTTATGTTTTGTTTTGGTTTTTTGTTTGCCTAGTGATTTTTTTTTTTTAAGTTAATTTTGTTGGCTTGGCTTTGTTTTGTCTTGGAGGAGAGGTACAATGTAAATCTTGGCAATTGTGGGTAAGGCAGTCCTCTACATTAGCTGGAAGGAAGCCACTCCTGCTCTTGGTTTATGTCTTGGCACCAAGCTGAGTTCTCCTTTAACTTGTGAGGCCCTTGGCTCTGCCCTCATGGCTAGGCCTTGTGAAATCTTAGGGTATATTCATTTTGGACACTCAGGGCAGGACTCCTGGACTCCTAAAGGGAGCCACACATCAGGCATTTTTTCCTCTGGCATTTTTTCCCCAACTTTTAGGAGGGAGTAGGAGAGTAGCTCTAAGGTAGTGGAAATGTATCCCCGTTAAGATACTGAAGAATTAGATTTAAGTTTTCAAAAACTGTCATCCTACTGTGTATGTTTAAACCTGTGTTTGAGACCTCACTGACCAATATTGCAGCTATGTACCTCTATTTTGTCATTTTGTTTTTATAAAATGTCTGCCGTTTCCTTTCTTTTTTTTTTTTTTTGTAACTTTTTGTTTTGAAATGATCATAGCTTCATAGAGAGTTGCAAAAATGGTAGAGAGGTCCTGCGTACCCTTCACCCAGTTTCCCCCATTGGTAACATCTTACATAACCACAGTACAATAGCAGAACCAGGACATTGACATTGGCACAGTCCACAGAGCATATTCAGATTTCACCAGTTTTACATGCACATGTAAAATTTGCATTTCTATGTGTATACTTCTATGCAGTTTTTCATGTGTCAATTCATGTAACTGCCACCACAACCAAAGTGCAGGCTATTCTATCACCTCAAGGATCTCCCTTATGCTATACCTCTATAGTTGCACCAGCCTTCTTCTCCCCACCCTGTTGCTAAATGCTTAGCAACCATTACTCCTGTTCACTTTATCTACAATTTTGTCATTTTGAGAATGTTATATATATAATCATGTAATATGTGAACTTTTGAGATTGGCTTTTCACTCAGCATAATGCCCTGGAGATCCATCTAAATTTTTACTTCTATCAATCATTTATTTCTTTTCATTGCTGAGTAGTATTCCATGACATGGATGTACTTCGGTTTGTTTAACCATTCACCTATGGGTTTTTTCCAGTTCATGACTATTGCACGTAAAGTTTTCGTGAACATTTATATATAGGTGTTTGTGTGAATGTAAGTTTTTATTTCTCTGGTGTAAATGCCCATGATTGTGATTGCTGGATTGTATGGTAAATGTGTGTTTAGTTTTTTACGAAATTTCCAAACTTCCAGAGTGGCTGCACCTTTCATTCCTATCAGCAGTGTATGAGAGATCCAGTTTCTCTGCATCCTTACCAGCATTTGGTGTTATCACTGTTTTTCATTATAGTTATCCTAATAGGTGTTCTAGTCTTACCATGGTTTTAATTTGTATCACAATAATGGCTGATGATGTTGAATGTCTTTTTTATGTGCTTTTTTGCTGTCTATATATCCTTTTTTGGTGAAATAACTATTCATGCTTTTTGCCCATTCCCTAACTGGATTATTTATTTTACTGTAGAACTTTAAGAGTTCTTTGCATATTCTAGATGCAAGTCCTTACTCAGATTTCTGGCTTGTGTATATATTTTCCAAGTATGTAGCATATCTTTTTAGGCCCAGGATCTTTTGCAGATCAAAAGTTTTCAATTTTGGTAAAGTCCAGCTTAGAGATTTCTTTTTTTCTTTAAGGATGGTGCTTTTGATGTCACATCTAAGAGCATTTTGCCTAGGCCCATGTCTCAAACATTTCCTACTATGTTTTCTTCTAAAAGTTTTATAGTTTTACATTTTACTTTTAAATTATAGTTCACTTTTATCCCCTTAAGAATTTATATGTCTTGCTGTGATCTTATAAACCATCTATTAGGTCTTGAATATACACAGATAAACTGTCAGGTGTAGTTCCTACTCTGAAGTACAGATTAGGGGTGTGGCATGTGGACATTACCATGTGTTGCTGCTATGATGGGACACGTGTGATATGCTGT